ATTTACTAGCCATTTTTATAAGTTTCATTGTAAGTATCTACGTTCCTTTGTTTGCAATTTAATATTGAGAGGCGGGCTGCTAGGAACTTGTCTCTTTGGTTTAGTTTTAGTAGATGTTTTACGGCGCTTGCAACTTCATAAGGTCATATGAGCGCCAGAAGATTAGAGGTGCTACAAGAGAGTAACAAACATAAACAAGAAGAAGTGGAGATGATGATGATAGATGTTTGACAGGAAAGAAGAACTTGTCTCTTGGCAAGACCAACCCGAACTGGGTGGAATACAACATCCTAGCAGACAGACGGAGATAATATTCTATTGATAAAAGAAACTTGCCCACTCCGGAGCCTGTTTACGAAATTACCTACAGTTGTAAAGCAAAGCGTTAAACTTAAATACTGACAGTGAGCTTCTTATTTGTTAGTTAATAAGTAGGTAATTAAACATGAAATTGTCACTCTTCCATCTGAAAAGGCGACAATGTACGATAGTTGGTATCACGCTGGATATCAGAGCGGATGGTTTAAATGTGAATCTCTGACAGGCTCATCTAGAGAATTTGGGAAGTAAAAGAAGTCTTCTTGTCTTTCTACCTAGTTGGTCCGGTCCTTAGAAAAAGAAAAAAAATTCGTACGAGTTTAATGGTTAGTACGAGTTTAACGGCACATGCAACAATTCGGTTATATAAGTGCTGCCGACGAATTGAGGTGTTACTAGAGAGTAACAAACAAATGAAAGGAGGAGAGATGAGGAAGAAAGATATTTAATAGGAAAGAAGGAGCAAACCACACTATAGCACCTGCTAACCACCTACTGGTTCGGTCCAATCCGAAATGGAAGTTTTGTTTGGACATTTTGCCTCTTAATCACATCATATTTTGAGGGACGTTGGACTCTTAACTTTATCATACCATTCGATCTAATGTTTTTAAAAAGGTGAAAAGAAGGCAGGGTGGAAATTAAAGTTTAAAAAATTAATAAATAAAACGAACACTGTCGCATTGTAGCAATGGCGCTTGAGTTAAGTACACAGATTACGTGGGTCTTACAACAAGGGGGGATCATCTCCTTCTTGTCTCATAAGGGGCGCGGCGGTGTGCGTTAATTAATTCAATAATTACCCCCCTTGAACTACTCGGGGGCTGGCCAGGGAGAGGTTTGATCGGGCTGGAGTTGACACTAACCTGATTAGACCATCTTAACACAGCCACAAATCTGGCTCCTACCCCGGGTAGATCGGCCGGCGACGTGTAAGCCACAGTGGCTGGGGCACACCCTGAGTTCTGACACAATGGCCGCTTTTGTTTTACGGGAGATTTGTTCGTGGAATAACCTTTTGAGTGTAGATTAACTGCTCACAACAACAACCGTGAGCGGTAGATCTTCCACAACATTGTTGTTGGGCTGATCTGAGCCATAGAGAAATACTATAATTATGTTATAATACGACTTATTTATTAGCTGCTTCAGCAAATCTGTGAGAATAATATACTTGGAGAGTTCAATAATTTGACATATTCTGTGAGCAAACAAAGCAATGATAATGTTAGAAGTATACTGACTTATTTATTAGCTGCTTCAGCAAATCTGTGAGATATACAAAAAGAGTTGAATAACTCGAAGCTTTCTCTAAGCAAACAAAACAATATAATAGAAGTATAATAATGCAGCTTATTTATTGGCTACCTCAGCTAATCAGTGAGACATCCTCGAAAAATACATATTTTAAAAAAAAATTCTTTGAGCAAACTAAAAAAGCAAAACTACAGGACGGCATTATAACACATTTTAGGTACAATAATAAGACTTACTTATTAGCAACTTAAGCAAATGTGCAAGGCTTACTGGGAGAGTTGAATCATTTGATATATTCTGTGAGCAAAATAACAAAGCCAAACAAGAGGGATGATAGTATAATAAAACATTTATTGACCTTTTCAAGACAATACTTTTTGATTATCTGATCCTGCTGGGTTTTTTTATTATTTCATAATAAGAACGTGTCTTTTGTTTTCATGCGATTCAAGAAAAGTTGTGGATGCAAAAAGAAAAAAAAAGAGTTAAGGATCTTGCCTTGGGTTTTTGTTTTCTTTCTTTCTTCTATTTTCGTGGGCAAAGACTGAAAGAATCAATACTCAGTTCGTGATGATCTCGGAGATCTCCAAACACCTTTGTTTCTAATTAAAATGAAGATACGTAGTATCAGCTTCACCTGCTTCATCTTGTATCGAAATGGAGAAGATTTGATTTCATACAGTGAATATCTACGAGTGAAAAGTCATCCGATAGACAGGAAAACAGCTAGGCGGTCGGTTGTTCTTTTGTGGGGGGTTTTTTTGGACACACACCTGAAAAATATGGTACAAGGGGTTTCTTTTTCGTTACCGATCCAAGTGACCTATGGACCTTTATGTTTTTGTCTACTAACTGTGATACATGGATACATTGACGATATCTCTTTTTGCAGAGGCTCGGGGACCTTTCATGTCTGCCACCTATA